ATGTGATTGGCTGATTAGAAATTAAGTGTCAACGAGCAGTTGGACAGGTGTACCTAATAAAGTGGCCGGTGAGTGTATGTGTCCACCTCAACTGGGGGCGGATATGCATGTGTTGTTCTCTGTCAACAAACTGGGACAGGGTTAAGTCCGAAGGCCGGAGGCCTGTCCAACCAAATGGAAAGATGCCCACTCTGTTGCTAACTTTCTGTGTCGTGAAGTTATACCCAGATGGGGACTTCCGCATAGGATTTCATCTGATAATGGGAGAGAGTTTGTAGATAAAACTGTAAAACTGATCCTATGAAAGTTAAGAATTAAACAACACCTTGGATCTGTTTATCACCTGGAGAACCAAGGCATTTGTGAAAAATTGAATGTGGTGCTAAAAAACAGCCTGGTAAAAATCTGTCAACATACTGGTCCGAACTGGGTGGCTGCATTTTCACTTATTTTAATGATGTTTTGTTTTTTGTACTCTGTTGCTGACTTTTGCAAAAGCCCTGATTTTAAGTTGGGTTGGAGTGGTGATGCCTGATAACCTAGCGCAAATGCCATTATTGGATGGAAATGTGAGTGAGGAGGAAATGATTCACCTACAGAGTGATGATGTTATGGAAATGTACCAATTTTAAGTATTTTGTTTGGTCTGGTTACACTTCACAATAGGTCTGTGTGTTGACACTGTGAAGGGAAATGTGTGTGGGTCGGGTGCCAATTTTTGTTTTCTCATGTTTTTGTAATCTAGGGAGGTAAGATGAATGTAATTTGTTTGTTTTGTTTTGATGGACAGGACAGCAGTTACTCAGAAAGTTAGAGTCTTTTTTGTTTGTTGTTTTGGCTGAGCCCAGTTCGAAGCTAATTGCTACTGTTTTCCCCTTATTACTTCTGTGTTCATTCTGGCCATAAGTAACTGTTAAGGCACCACATACAATGTTTTTCTTTTCTCTTTCTTTACTGATATGATTATTGACATATATTGTTTGCCTATGTAGTTTTCTTTTTTCTTCTTATCTTTTATTATTAATTTTGTTTGATTTTGTTTATTCATTTGATTTGACTCAGTCCTTTATTTATTTGACTGAGCACCAGGAGCAGGACGTTTAAGTGTCACAGCTCTGAGGATTTCTTTCTTTCTTTTATTTTTTTTCTTCTGTTGACTAAAGAAGAGAGATGACGTTAACACCTCATATAAATAGTTACATACCTCACGGCACATTACCCCTTGTACAATTGAGACATGCTGTTACTCATCAGCACTGTATAAACATAATGATAAAGTTCATTTTCCATGCATGGTATTGAAACTTGTCATTTTTTTGCAAGATACTGGTGTGGTGTTTTCTGTTTTTCCAGGAGGACACCAAGCTGATTCTGTTATATGGACTTTGGACTCAAATTCTTGGACAGGACTCATAAATCTGTACAGGATCGGCAGTACAAAGGACTTGGACTCTGATTGTGATTGCTCAAACATTTTTGCCACAGAAAAGGACTGACTCCAGACACCATGGGTGACAGAATACAAAAACTACCATCGTTAAGAACTCTTATACTCTTCTTTATGTGTTTTTCATTTTGGTTTTTATTCTTTATATCATATTGTTTGATGTGACAATCATTTACTGTGTGTTACTTYTTATTTTGACTGTCATATTATGATCATCTTATGTAGTGAGCTGAGTCTCATGGAAATGTCTAACTCATTTTGTGTTAATGCATGACTCAAGTTACATTTGTCCTTATTAGCATAGGTAACAAACCGGGACGATTTTGGCATTGAAAAGTCCCTAAAATTAGTTTATGGTAACTGTTAGGTTTAAACTGAGATTCCCTTCACAGATTGGCATGGAGTGAGGATTTCTCTGGGACCTGCGGTCTTTTCCCCACCCCTGTTTCATGGGGAGGTTTTTCTGATCGTAATGGGTCATTTTAGGCGGATTTCAACGAGTCAACCTTCAGGTCCCCTGCAGTGACACAGATTTTTAAATGAGTACGCATGGATTATTTGTCCATGTCAGTCATGGAGGTGTTTACAGTCAGGAGGCCTGGGGGTGTGGCTGATGTAGCCAAATTTGACCTGATTAGAAAATTAGGCTTAGTTTACCTACTTTTAATGTAATTTAAAATAATGTGCGCTTAGAACATAAAATAGGTTACTAGCTAAATTAGACAATCTCTAAATTGTAGACTAAAACCTTTACTTATTTGCTAATGGACAAATGATAATATACAATAAAATTGAACAGCAAAGTTTTTGTGATGCAGTAGCTAAGGTGTTACCTTTTTCTCGGTTTACAGCCAATCCTTTTTTTTCGGGACTAAATTTGTCCCGAAGGGGGGATTATGTAGTGTCTAAAAGTGGAGGCCTCTTCTCAGGAATGCACAGATTTACTATGTCTCTCTTAGACCCCAGCTTCAGAACTCAGCACATGTTACCATATTAGGAAAGGAATGCTTAAGGTATACCGTGACAAAATTTATGGTGCATCTGTTGGACTGCACTGTGAAACCTATAAAAAGGCTTGTACGCTCCTACTCTTCGCCTTCGTCTTCATCTTTTTTGCTGTTGATTAATTTGGCTTAGAAGGCCACAATTTGGTTTTTGGCTGTAAATCTCCTGGACTGCAAAATAAAGATTCTTGCTGTTCAACCAGCCTGTTTCAGAGTTTCTCTCTTCAGGAGCAACAACAGTTTGTAGAGACGAGAAGACCCGGTTTTTATACCTCAATATCATCCGACCTCACTTAGTAAATATGAGTTTGATTAAAAAAGGTGAATAAATGTTGGTCAATAACTGACCTGGTGCTCCAACAGGTAAAGTATAGTGCAGGACAGAAATAGTTAATTACCCTTTCTGTTTCTCTCCAAACAACTCACTACAAGGTCCATAATTAACAGCACTAATGATGACTGGATATTGTGTTTTTTTAAATCACTCATTGATCAGTGTTGTGTTTGTGAAGAGTTCGTGGAGGAAAAACTTTTTTTATGTTAACAGTGGTGATGGAAAAAAGACGTAAAAATCAGCTGCTCTTCTAGGTCTGTTCTTCAGACAAAAACATCATTTTAAACATAATCTGTAAAGCTGATCAGAGTCCAGCTCCTCATGAACAAACACACCCACAAAGTTCTAACCAATAACACGCTCCTAGCCACATGGGCATCACAGAGTTCTGACTGGAGGCAATGCACATGATGGCTGTCACCAGGGGATAGCAGCAGAAGAGCAGACGGAAGTTGTGCATTTTTTGTCATTCAGCAGGGGGAACAAGACACGAAATTTGAAGTATAAACCAGCCCTGTCATCACAAACTGAATTACATAAACCTACCTGCAGCAGTCTTTAACATGATTCTGACACCTGTAGTACTGTGAAGCTTAATTCTGGTCTCAACCAACCTGCAGGATCTCCTGGCTGTTTCTAATTCCCTCCTCGGTCCACAGCGCCATGATCTGCTCTGGACTGGTGCATCCTGACCCATCATCCAGCTGGCTAAGGACCCTCTGACCTACAGTGGCCGTCAGTAGAGAAGGGGAGGTGAAGCGGGCTGAGACCTCCTCGAGCACCTCGTGGGCCTGCATGAAAAAATAGAGACCAGAGTCAGAGTGAGACCAACCTAAAACCTGAGGAATAATCAGAGTTCACAGATTTTAACCTGGATCTGAAGTATCACTTTTAAGCAGAGACACTAAAACCAGGCCTCTAAAATTCACCAGTTAGCACCAGACCACTGAACTCCAACTAGAATCAAAACACTGAGGACCACTGAAGTCCTCTAAACAGAATCCGATCACTAAGGACCAAACTGGATTAAAGCAGGTGAGTGGATGAATTGTCAATAACAGTTGAATATATAAACATGCCCTGCAAGGGAACTGAACCACTCTTTTGTTTTCAAGATGCTATAGATCAGAAGTTTCCAATCCTGGTTCTCGTGGCCAACCATCCTGCATGTTTTAGTGGTTGGACCCTATTGACCTACATGGTCAATTTTCAATAGGGTCATAGTGCAATTATGGTTGAGCAGTATAAGATAGATGAATGGATGGATGGAGATTTTGAGAACTTTTTACTCCATCCACCCATCCAGCCATCCATCCATCCATCCATCCATCCATCCATCCATCCCTGCTTGTTCTGAAGTCAGGTAGTGGGGGCAGAGGCTTGAGCAGGGAGACCCAACCAAGAGACAGTCTACAGCACCAGGTTTTTTCTGTATCTCCACAGGTTGAGGTTGTGTCTCATGAAAACAGTCCGGTCTAATAATTAAATCAGAGAAACACCTCCTGTACCCACCTCAAATAGGTACATACACAGCTTTCTGGATTGGACTTCCAATATTAAGTAAATGAAAATGAATAACAAATAAATAAATGTATTCCATTTAAAATTGTCAAAATAGTTGAAAAACACAGAAGAAAACAACAAGCTAAATAAATAAGCAATTCACATTGTTTATTAGGAGAAACTACTTTGTGGACTGTTGGACAAACAGCCATGAACCCTGAAGTATCTAGTGAGAGCAAAGAGTGTTCCACGGCTGGAAAGGAACTGGCATTATACCTCCAGAGTCTGAGGTTTGACCACTGATTGAAAAATTTTAGAGAAGTTTGAAAAAGCCCTCTCTCTGGGCTGCCACCTTATCGTGGTGGAGAGGTTTGAGTGTCCCAATGATCCTAGGAGCTATGATGTCGGGGGCTTCATGCCCCTAGTAAGATCACCCAAGGCAAACAGGTCCTAGATGAGGGATCAGACAAAGTGCAGCCCAAAGACCCCTATGATTTTTTTCTTTTTTCGCTTCAGCCTTCCGAGGAGCCGGACATGCTTTTTTGCTCTCTCCTGAACCTGCCCTTCCTACCCTGCTTTGCTGCCTTTTCAAGCCTTTTTTCTACCTACCACCTTTTTTCTACCTACCATCCAAAACAAAAAGGAATTATGGATTTGGTCAACTGGTCTCTGAACACAATTGACACTATTTTTTCCACATTAAGATGGGAACAAGGGAAACAAAGCTTTCCCAGTGGAATAGTTGCAGCAGGGCGCATCAGTGGGTCTTGGGGGAGCTGTAATCTGATGCGTCTCGCACCACTTTCCATTGAGAACGTAGAAGATTTGTATATAATTGGATTTATGATAACTGGATTTCTGCTGATCGGAGGAGGCGGATTCCTGATCTTTCAAAAAGTGAAAGCAATCCTGACAGCGGTCCGGGTCATTGAGAAGCTGTCGGGCACATTGGTTGGATTCTGCCGGGCTGGAAGCACACAGACTTAGTTGCTGGGGGAGATATTTCACAAACTGGATGTGGTTCTGATGAGAACTGCCGATCAGAGCGAGCCTCAGCATGTAGGATCGTATCTGGGTGAAGCTCCGGATGATGAGAGGACCCCGAACTCTGCTGATTGGAATTTTTTGCCACTTTCAGAGATGCAGTTAAGAAATTGAAAAGCAGCAGGAGATTCAAAGCAGTTTTGCCCCAAAACAATTGTGTTTATCTATTGGCTCCCATAAGCTTAGCATCGACTGCCATGCTATGTAAACTCCCCAAGGATGATACACACAGAACACACAGGTTACTTCAAGTACTTTTGCGGGATCTTCCCACTTATTATAAATATTGGGCCAAATCAGAGGACTCTGGGTTCAAAGGAGCCTAGATGTGAGTGACAACAGAAGAGAGTGCAGTTTTCAGAAAACTATTTAATTTACTAATTCAAAAGTTTCATTGGTACAACAATTAACAAAACAACGCACTTTGGAACAACATTACATAAAACAAAACCAAATAAAAATATTTCAGTTATAAAAGTCTCTTTTCAAATTATCTGTCAAGTGTCCATTCAAAGTCTCATTTGTCYTGACCAGTCGGGTCACTTTCTACCAGTGTGTTTGATCCTTTGGGCCGGGGCTCGCCATCCAGTTCTTGTGAAATGATCCTGTCGTCTCTGCAGCACTATAGGTTGAATAGTGCTCCACACAAAAAACCTGACCGATGCTACACGAGGTTAGAACAGGGGATTTTCGGACTCCAATCTGCTCACAACCGAAGCTCTCAATTTCCCAGTTTTTTAAGCTAGTTTCTCTGCTAGTAGTGGACGAACCCAGTAAAACAGATCTRTCTCCAGCCGTGTCTGATGCAATCTGAGCAGTCTCTGCACTGCGCAGCAGCAGAAAGGGCAGGAACGTTCAACCTCATTGGCTGATGTGAAATCAGACTATGCCAGCTATTGGTTGTTCACTCCATCACAAAAACATGCATTAAAGGTGTATTACACCAATTTTTTAAAGGTTTTTACTACTTGTACATATATTTATGACTGTGTTTGAGCCAAATTGTAACTCTTAATTTACTACTTTTAATCTCATTGTACAAAAATATATATGACCAATATTTCTAAATTCTTGTTTGTGTTTTTTAACACTGGGTTACACCTTCCCCCTTTAGAAGCATGCAAGTCCCTTTGCATGGGGTGGGTTGCATGGAAACAACATGGAAACTGGAGTCCACAGAAGTGGTTTCAAGATCAGTCTCTGTCAAGGCACTGGTAAAGGCAAGGCTTAAACCATGAAACAGGGACTGGGCAATAGTTAAGAGTGGGTTTCCCAACCGACTATACTGGAYCCGGTTTGGTTGATTAGTCAATCTCTCTGAACGTCTCACAGGATTTGTGTTTTCATGACTTGTGTTTATGTGGTTCTCCTCTGATACATTTCCTTCCACTGATCCACTCTTGTCACACACTGTTTCATAAGGTAGGTTAGTTTCACTCTCAYGATCATCCTCATTGGTCAATTCTTCTGCGTTTGCAGTTTTTTCAAACTCCTCTTCAGCAGGGACTACTGGGTCACTGCCAGGTCTTCCATCACAATTGGGTAAAGTGTCACATTCAGGTAAGTTTTTGCATCCAGGTGTACTGTCACAATCAGGTAAGTTTTCATATCCAGGTGTACTGTCACATTCAGGTAAGTTTTCACATCCAGGTGTATTGTTGGGGTATGTCTGGCGCTTTGGGATTTCATAGACTTGCGTAAATGTGATTGGCTCTGTGACAGGTTGTTCTCTAAGCCAGTAGACATCCTCAATTTCAGATTCTGCAATGTTGCTTTCATTGTGTTGCTCAGGGGATTGGCGTGTTRTTGGTTTACGGACATGATTTATTGGAGTGGGATCCTCCTCTGTGAGCGCAAGGAACCCACAAGGTAAGAGAAGATCACGATGGACTGTGCGCACTGGCCCATTCTTGGTTTCAGGCTTGACAGTGTAGACTGGTATATCACCAGCTTGTTCCACCACAACATAAATATCGGTTTCCCACCTATCGGCTAGTTTGTGCTTGCCCCGTAAACGAACAGCTCGCACCAAAACTCTATCCCCAGGTTCTAGTTTGGAAGGTTTCACACGCATGTCAAATCTGGCTTTATTTCTGTCTGCCATCTTCTTAGCATTTTGGGTTGCTAACTTGTAGCTTTCTTGCAGAGTTGTTTTCAGTTTTTCCACATATTGTGAGTGGGACTTGAAGCTTTTGTTTTGGAGAGGCAGGCTGAATGCTAGGTCAACAGGTAATCTTGGTTGACGACCAAACATTAATTCATAAGGTGTGAATCCAGTTGTGTCATTTTTTGTGCAATTGTATGCATGAGCCAAAGGCTTTYCAAAGTTGCGCCATTGCATTTTGTCTTTATTCTCCAAGGTCCCAAGCATGCTTAGTAAGGTGCGGTTGAAGCGTTCCACAGGATTTCCCCTGGGATGATAAGGGGTTGTGTGAACCTTGTGAATGCCTATGATCTTACAAAGCTCCTTTATTATGTGTGACTCAAAATCTGGCCCTTGGTCACTGAGTAGGCGTTCAGGAATGCCGTAATGTACTATAAAGTGATCCCAAAGACATTTTGCCACAGTCTGGGCTTTTTGATTTGGAGTAGGAATGGCTATTGCATACTTGGTGAAGTGATCCGTTAGTACGAGCACGTCCTTTGTGTTGCTTTGATCTGGCTCAATGGATAAGAAATCCATACAAACTAGTTCAAGCGGTCTGGTGGACTTTATGCTCACAAGTGCTGCAGCTTTCTCTGGAGGAGTCTTTCTTCGTACACAACGGTTGCATGTCTTGATTCTGTTCTCAATGTCAGCTGCCATATGGGGCCAATAGAATCTTGTTCTGGCAAGATCAAGTGTGCGCTCGATACCTAAATGGCCCATATCATTATGGAGACTCTGAAAAACTGCTTCACGGAGCTGTTCAGGTAAGACAAGTTGATAAGTAGCAGTGCCATTATCTTGGCGTGTTCTGTACAGTATTTCATTGTGCAGCTCAAGACGAGCAAGTTCTCTGAGTAACAATTTTATATCAGGGAGTTCAGTTTTGACAGTAGGTGGAACTTTATCACCAGTTTCAATTTGGGTAATAACCTCACGCAGACAGGGGTCAGCTCTTTGTTCTTGTTTAAGTTGCTCAGCTGACAGATGAGGTACTATTGGAAGACCACCACAGTCCCTTTCATTGACAAACTCATCTGGTAAGGCGGTTACAGAAACAGCTAAAGACTGTACAAGGGGGATGGGTTCATCGGAGGAGTTGCGACACAAGTGTCTCTCACAGATAGCTGACACCACTGCAGGACTTAAACTGGTCTCTTGTTGTATCAGATGAGTCTGGGTGAACTGCTGTATTCTGTCAAGTTCTTTTTGTGACACTGCATCATTCAATAACTCGCCATGTGGTCTCCTTGAAAGGCCGTCTGCATCAGAGTTGAGTTTGCCTGCTCTATACTGAAGCTTAAAGTTGAATGTAGACAGGGAAGCTAACCAGCGGTAGCTCATCGCATCCATCTTAGCAGTTGTTAGAATATATGTCAGGGGGTTACTATCAGTAACGACAGTAAACTGGTTTCCATAAAGATAATCTGCAAACTTTTCTGTTACTGCCCACTTTAGCGCTAAAAACTCTAATTTGTGGGCAGGGTAACGAGCTTCGCTCCTGGACAAACCCCTGCTCGCATAGGCAATGACTCTTCTCTGGCCATCTTGTTCCTGATAAAGGGCTGCACCAAGCCCTGTAGTACTGGCATCAGTGTGGAGTGAGTATGGCAGCTTAGAGTCAGCGAAACCCAAGATAGGAGCAGAAGTGAGCTTCTCAATGATGTTTTTGAAAGCCAGGTCACAAGATGGGGTCCATCGCTCACCAAAGGGTTTTTTAGGGTCATGGTACTCAGCAGGCTTAGCTTTGATACTTAAGCTCCTGCGTAATGGTGGGTACCCGGATGTTAGGTCTGTGAGAGGCTTAACAAGGCTTGAATAGTTCTTTATAAAACGCCTATAGTACCCAGAAAAGCCTAAGAATGAACGGAGTTGCTTAAGGTCCTGTGGCACAGGCCAGGTACTCAGGGCTTTTACTTTCTCAGGGTCGGTCTCTACCCCTTTGTGGGATACTATGTGTCCAAGATATCGCACGGACGTTTGGAAGAACTTACAATTCTCAGGGGAGAGTTTAAGTCCGTAGTCTCTCAGGCGGGTAAGAACTTTCATCAAGCGAGCCTCGTGTTCTTCAGGGGTCTTGGAAAAGACTATGATGTCATCAAGAAACACTAGCACTTCCTTTAAATTCATATCACCCATACATCGCTCCATAAGGCGCTGGAAGGTGCTTGGAGCATTTGTAATGCCTTGAGGCATTCTGTTGAACTCCCAAAAGCCACTGGGACATACAAACGCAGTCTTTGGTTTGTCTGCTTCCTCTACTTCTATCTGGTAATAGCCAGATTTTAAATCAAGGACTGAAAACCACTTAGATCCAGTCAAAGTAGAGAAAGTCTCCTCCAAGTTTGGGAGGGCGTAGGCATCCTTTACAGTCTGCAGATTGAGCTTTCTGTAATCAATACAGAGGCGGACATCGCCATTTTTCTTTCGCACGACGACGATGGGCGAAGAGAATGGTGAAGTGGATTCTCGTATCACACCTGCTTGTTGAAGCTCTTGTAAGTGCTTACGGACTGCCTCCAGGTCATTGGGATGTATGGGGCGTGCTTTGTGCTTGAATGGTGTTTCGTCAGACAATTTAATTGTGTGCTTGACTTGATCAGTGCGACCGAAGTCGAGATCATTCTGTGCAAACACCTCTGGCATGCTGTTGAGTTTTTTCAAAATGCGTTCTTTCCATGCAGGGCTGACAGGAGAGGACTCGAAGTTAAAGGTCAAGTTGGACTTTTGACTGACCTCAGACTTGGAAGATTTCACTGAATGTTCATGAGAGAGAACTCTCTGGAATGCATGGATCTCTCCAATCACACACTTTTGAGGGATTGTCACATCATGTTCAGATTCGTTGGTGAGGACAACTGGTACCAGGTAAGGTGCTCGCTCAGGTAAGCAGATGAGACTTGGCTTTACTAGAACACTACTAGGCAAGGTTGAAAAGGATGGGTGCTCTAGTAGAACAAATTTTTCTGTGGTATGGGCTGACACAGCTACAGAGCTTTCTAGGACAACTGTTTGGCCTGCTGGGACTAGCTGAGGGCCCTTGTTGTACATGGTTGCTAGGCCAAGGCTACTGTCTTTAGCCTGTTTGTGTCTTAACTCCAAGACTTTTAACACTGCCTTATAACCATTTGATGTGAGGGGCTGCAGTCCGGAACATGCTTCATTATACAGCTCATAAAGCACATCTAAAGTGTTAGTCCCAATTAACACTAAGGACTGTGAAGCAGCTCGAACATTAGGCACAACTAAGGCAAGCGTTGACACATCAGCTTCAATGCCAAGAAACTCTTTGGGAAAAGTGACATTCATTTCGACATAGCCTAAGTAAGGCACTGATTGGCCATTTGCCCCTTCCACTTCGAGCAAGTCAAAAAGAGGCTTGATTTCATGACTGGACAGATGTTGCTCATAATATGACTGCGGAACGGTAGTCACCTGGGAGCCAGAATCTAGTAAGCTGTTAGCAGTTTTACCGTTAATCTTTACTTGGGCGGTGCTCTTAGTTCCAATTAAACCATGAGGTAGTCTGAATTGGTCAGTTTTGGTGTGTGACTTCAAAATGGGTCGTTGTTCAGTAGACATATTTGGCTGAGATTCAATGGGACGGTTGGACTYGGTGGTAGCCTCTGTTTGTCCCACAACAGAGGCAGACTTCAGTTTAAAGAAGAAGARCCACTGTGCTGGCTGTCCCACATTTGTCTCTTCACCTTTAGTTCCTTTCTTTTAGCCTCCACCAGGGAAGGGTTGGGCTCAGAGTCACAGTTGGCAACGATGTGCCCATCTTCCCCACAGCGAAAACAGTACCAGGGCTTGGGCCTTGAACTAGGACGACTGTGTGAAGTTAAGTTGGGTTCAGGGTTTGCACGGTCAGGTTTTGTGGTTTGGGTCTTCTTAGGTACAATTTGTTTCTTTTGTTTCACAACTGCAGCTAGTTGGCTTTTTAAATCAGCAATTTGTTTTTTGAGATCATTTAAGGTGTTTGAAGCTGTTTCTGAAGAGTTTATTTTTGTTTCAGTGGCTGTTTGCTCGTGTGAGACTGCTTTTTGTTTTGTGGCATTGAAGTGCTTTCTCATTCTTGTGCTTTTTACTTCTTGTCTGTTTTCTGCAGTACGGAGAAACAGTAACAGTTCTGCAAATGTGGGTGGATTTTTTTTCTTTAACTCCAATTGCAGTTCTGTGAGCAGGCCGTCATCCCAACACCCTCTTTGAAACTGTTTAAGGAGCTGCCTGTCTGTRTCTTTGGAGTCTACACCACCCCGGCGCACTGCAAGACTCAGCGCCACCTGCAGGCGATGCAAGTAAGCAGATGGTTTCTCCCCGTGATCTTGCAGTGTGTTCATGAATCTCACAAGCAGTTCCTCGCCATCTTCAACAGTGCCAAACGCAGACTCGAGCAGCTGAAGATAGTCAACAGGTGACGCATCAGGCCCAAGAGGCCGAATGACATCAGAAGCTGGAGTGAGAAGGCTCTCAAGAATTTTCCGAGATTTTTCCAAGTTAGAAAGAGATAAATCTTCCATCATCAAGTCAACGTGGGAACGCCATGTTTCATAGTCAGTTTCAGTGTATGGCCTGGGGTTTTTTCCTGAGAAAGCTCTCAACCGAAGGGTGGAATGAGTAGTAGATGTCTTTTCCGTAGTTTTGACAACATGTTCAACCACAATCTTCTGTACCTCAGGTGAGATAAGATCAGTTGGGCTTAAAATGTGAGATGTCTGGCTCGGTTTACTGGCAGTTTGATCAGGGCTCTGAGTCTGATTAGAAGAGTGAGGGGTATCAATGTGATGTGGAGGGAAAACAGCACTTTGTGTGGGCTCCGTRCTATTGTCTGGCCAGGGCTTTCCAGCTGCCTCAGCAGATCCCATGGACTCTTCAAACTTTGACATCACCTCCCGCAACACCTCTTCAAAATCTTTCCCACTTAACTTGGCTAAACCTTTTAGCTCATTAAGGTAAGTGTCAGTAACACAGCCACCTACAGTTTTTGTGTAAACATCTGTTAAGGCGCGGACACAATATCTAACATTAGGGTCGTCAGCTGACTGATAGAGGTAAGGCAAAACAGGTGTCAACTGTTGGACAGCTAAACCGGAGGTAAACTCTATAACCTGATTTTGATAAAACTCAGAAGAGCTATCTTCAACAGTAAGCATCCTCACTATTTCACCATACTGCCGTAAGTACTCAAAAACCTCACTGTCCTTCTCTGATCCAGTAACACCATTAACAATGACTGCATTTGGTATCTTAATGCCTAACTTTTCAACAAAATCCATTTTACCAGGGTGTTAACAGGTTGGAATGGAAATGGTATTCCTGTTGTTACACAACTCTAGGCTCCTGGCTGGCTCGCCACTTTTTTTATGTAACCCAACACACAGGTTACTTCAAGTACTTTTGCGGGATCTTCCCACTTATTATAAAT